GAAGCTCAGCGCCGCTCCTGAAGCTTGTGCCGTGCCGGGGTGCCCGTGGCATCAGCACTGGTTGCGAAACCCAGCGTGGGGACACCCTCCCGCCCCAGTTTTATCATCCCATCCCCTCACTCACACCCCTCCCGACCCTGCATCAACCACCCTGGAAACCCTCTCCTCCCCAGGCGTTACCTTGCCATACTCAAGGGTGTAGGAGACCGACTCGGTCGGACCGGGAAGCTTCCCCTTTTTCCGTATCAGCACGAAGCCGATTCCCAGTCTCTGAGCCAGGGGGGGGCCTATGAGGAAGCCACGGGAGTCCAGGCCTGGGCAGAGCAGCACCGACACTCAGAACAGAGCCATTGAACTTGGGGGTGTCTTTGCACGACACCCCATATTTATCCTCCCGCGTTCGGGGGGGTGGGTCTCTAAAAGCAATTTGCTCTCAGCGTCGTTTCTATGGGTTGAAAGCACACACCACGCTCCTGCACCGCCTGTGCTCGCCCAGACGAGCTGGCGATGGGCTCCGGGGCACCGCATCGATCTGCCCATCAGCCCGTTCTGCCTCCTCTCTAGCTCTGCCCAGAGATAAGCTCAGCTGAGCCCTGGTATCAGCCAGGGGCTTCGCACCACCTGGGAACAGACTGTGGTTATCACGAGGCGCTGGGGCCGGGTTTTGGTCTCAAGTCCCTGAACTTTGGGCTATCGCCCAGCCCAAGCAGAGCCTCCCCAGCACTTTCATTCTCAGCCTCTTCCCTAGGTGTGTTGCAACGTGTTACCACCACAAAGGCTGTTTCTGTTGGCTTGCAAAGGCCTCCCCCCTCCCCCCCTGAGAAGGAAAACATGCTGGAACAGGGTCTGCCTGCCATGGGGACTGTGCAAGACCTTGCAGGCATGCCTGTAAGACTTTATGTCAGACTTTCAGTACTCCCCGACTCTTTTTTTAATGATGAAAGCAATGAATTACAGAATTGGCACTGAAGTATCATCAGATGACGTCTGCCACACCCAAAACCAGTATTTCGGGAAACAACAGGAGTAAGTCAAGGGTATAACCTGTCCCGGTGTCACCATACGACAGAGGCCAACAATTTG